CACACCTAAACAGACAATTTGCGTAACACACTGATGGACGGATCACAAAATGAGAATGTAAATCTTGCATTTGTTGGTGCATTTGTTAACACGTTGTGCTAGAATAAAAAAATACCAAAGAACCAGAAATAATAATACCAGAAATCTTCAGTGTCGCTCATGCTACCTGAAGAAAGTTTGTAAGGCAGATACATCCACAGAATAGAACTTTCATCATGCAGACGCAGTGCTTTCTATCCGTGTTACTTGAGTTGTTCTTTGGAAGTGATTGTGTGTAGGTGCCGTCTTCTGTACCAGACTGTGTGCCAGGAGTCGGCTTTCTTTCAGCAAAGCTACTAACTGGATAATTAAGGGTGCTCTATACACTCCAATTAGCAGGCGATGGGAAAGGGAGGAGGGATCGCTCAGCTGTATCCGAGGAAAGCAGCGTAAAACCGGGTGATACACATCAAATCACAGCAAAAGGCTAATGCGTGCGAGGTGAGGACACCATACATCACAGCCTGCGGGAGGAAATGAGGCAGGTTTCTAAATAAATACTGCCAAGGTTGCTGCTGCTCTGTGGTGCATCACTGCCAAACCATAATCTCAGACTGTTTATTTTCCCAAGTTGCGCTCTCTCCCCGTCTCCCTCTCACTCTTTCTGTCTGTGTCTTTCTCTTCATGCTTTAAAGGCCTCAGAGGAATGCTGCTTACCATAACAGTCTGCGTGAGCCCATCGGAAACACCTCCAGGAGACACAAACGAGCTCCTCCCTTTTCCTAGTCAGAGTTTTTGTATTTTTATAATTCCACTGTGACCCTGTTTCCTTTTACTTACAAAAATCCTTACACCCTGCATGTGTCTTGGGCCTCCAAACACTTTCCAACAGGGAAAACCAACAACAACAGGTGGAGATCAAAGGAAGCCAGCTAACACCACACATTGTATTTTTCACCTAATATAATATATATATATTTTTTTTCTTTAGTCTAATGAGCTGTTAAATTGCAGGATTCTTTATAAATGCCTCACAAGAAGAGGAAAGGAGACTGGATGTCTCCATGCTCCTATGCATCCTCACTGTCTTTCTCCTGACAGATGTGAGCACAGTGCTCGGATCAAATTGAGACGGATGAATCAATGGATTCACACCATCACCCCTCAAACACCCATATCGTATGGCTTCACTCCTCTGTGATTCTATTTCCATCGACTAAGTGCGGGCTACATTTAAATCTGGGGTCATGGTTATTAATTACTCTTCCGAGTTCAGTTGAAAGCCCAAGGAAACCCGGGGCGGAGTACACGCACGGGGAGCGACGGCGGAGCACGCAGGCAGGAACAAAGGCCCGCCACGAGGGTTCATGCCTCCCGCTGCTCGAGACCCACATACTGCCGTGGCTCTGCAGACAGAGGTTAGGACCACCTAGGCAGATTTCCCCTGGGGGCTATTATCGCACCAAAGATAAAATGATTTTCAGACGGAGGAGCTTTCACACACACAGAGACGCACAGGGTCTGATACTGACGAAAATAACGCTTCAAGGACGGTTCCCCTTTTGGGCAATGTAACTGCCAATCGTGTCTGAGAACAAAAGCTCTGATTCATCATTATTTCAGGGAAAAGTCCAGACAAATGTATTCATAAACTCCTTTCTGTTTGCCAACAGAACATTTGCTTTTATCGTAGTGTGAAAGGGGAACAAAAAAATGATCAAAACATTAACATTAACGTATAAAAACATTTATACAATTGTACGAAACATAGGATGAATGTCGAGACACTGTGTTTGTTGGTCTGTCCATGGATTGAAGTCAGTCTCTGTACAGCATGACTAATAACAATATTGTTATCAAGACCGAGTTTAAAAAGATTCAAAAAAATCGATTTTTAATGAAATGGAACAAGATGCTTTTGCTCATTATTTCTCTTTTCATGTCTGCATCTGAGAATCGTGATGCATGAGCAGTTTAAAAAAGTTTGCATAGCCTCAAACACTAAAAGAGCATCGTCTTTATTCTAAATAGCTAATTTAGCATTTTATTTCTTGATTCATTTAAAGACAGATAAAGATGAAAAAAAAGATGTTAAGTCTTTGCACCCAAAATAGGAGTAATCACAGCTCAAAGGTGTCTTGATGACAGACTCCTACCCAACTAGCCAGTCACCATACACTTACTTCTGTCGCGTGGTTTCTGTTTAACACCACTGCTGCTTTGGGGCTCCGCTCTTCAAAAGCCTTTCCGAGCCCAAGTTGTTGGTACGTAACCACGCCTACGATGATCGGCAGCCATCGACAGAGCGGCGACTGGACTGCTGTTGAATGAAGAAGAGGAGGTTTTAGGGCCACGGTCTTTTGAATCAGGTCAGCACAAAACAACACTTGAACCAAAATCATGTGTTATGATTTCAGCATCCTTTTAGAGTCAGTGATGCATCAGTGAGTTTCACCGTTTGTGTGTATGGTTATATTTTGTAGTGAAATAAGTAGAATCTTAGAAAATGTATCAAAGCTAAAGATATCTGAACTACAAAACAATTGTTCATGAACCAAATGTCACTTCTAATCTACGTCAGGTCTAGACAGATATTTACAAATACATTTTAAAACATTTAGCGTAGTTAAGGCTATGCTTCTTCCCTGTCCTTTCTGTTGCCAGCTCGCAATAAATTCATCTAAGTGTAGCCTTTAGCAGCCTATAGGCTTGTGTCACACAGCTCACCTGGAGGGGCTGTATGACTGAGAAATGTGTCAGTGTAGCTGTCAGTTTGTTTACTCCTAAACCTGTCTGAAAGTAGAAGCAATGCAGGGATTGTTTACTCGTCTGTGACATGATGTCATTTTAAGTGATATGCCATGTGCAATTATTAAAGCTGGGGCAGGTAAAGTATTTTAGAAACCTTTTTTGTTTAAATTCTCTTTATTCCCCAAGAACAATAAATTAATCAAATGCTCTGACAAAAAAAAAAAAAATCTGGTATCTGTGGCTATCGCAGGACTGTAATAAGCCCGTCCAATCATTTCATTTGGCTCGAATGCAATGATTGGACGGTTTCCCTGACTGTTTTCCTGCAAGTATTCTGCCAGTGAGATCATTGAGCGACACCAGAGTCTTCCACAAGGTGCTAACTTGAAAGCTGCGAGTACTAACAATAGCATGGTGTTGTTTACGTTCCTTATGATCATTTTGGGGGAGTGGCTTTGGAGAGAGGCCTGAGGGGGCGGGCTGTAGGTGTTGCCAAATTGGCAACTTTCTTGCTAGATTTTGTGACTTTTGGAGCTTGTGAAGCAAACTACTTTCATTGGAAAAGAGTTGGTAACACTAGGGTGGGTTTTTCGGTTGGATGTTTTCAAAAGCTTACTCTTGCTGGTTTCTCCAATGTTGTCAACTTCAGCTTTGAGCGATCTGTTGCTTAGTACATTGAGAGAAAATGAATCAGCAACAATTTTGATAATGGATTCAATCTGTTTTTAAGTAAAATTACAAGAAATATCACAGGTTCTAAATTCTATTCTTTGGGCTTTGGGAACTTGTAATGGACATTTTATTTTCTATTTTCTGAAACCCTTGACAATTAATCAAGAAAATAACCTGCAAAAATAATCAATAAAAATCATTGTTAGTTGCGTCTCAATGGAAAAGGCACTACAACTTTCGAATAAAACACACTTTATAGAGGATTTTTATTGGGACGTAACCAATTTAATAAAACTTGAAAGATCAGTGTGAAGCCATTAATATAAACAACTTTTGAGTTGTTAGAAATATTTTGGGCCATCTGACTATGTATTTTTGGCTGCCGGCTATCTGGTCAAAAATTCCATTTAACTTAAAACTCAGACTTGAGGGATACAATCCTTTATTAATGACTAAATAACATTCATAACTGCAGATTTGATGGATTCAAATCCTTTATTAATAAATAAATAACATTTATAACTGCAGAATTGATTTCCAATGAGAACGTAAGAAACCTATGAGCATTCATAAATGGATTGTCAATATTTATAACTGCATTATTTCCAAATAGAAAGAATAAAGTGGGATTTTTCACATCAACGCAAAATGTGTTATCCTGGTTTATAACTGATCTATAAAGCATTACTAAATAATGAATTCATTAATAATAAAGACATCTGATACAACTTATAATAAGAGCAAAACTGCTATAGTATCCTAGTAAGTGAGTTTGACTTGTAATACCTCATTTTTTCCTTTTCTTGTCCTCCTTTATGAAGTAATATTGCAGCACTGGATATTTATCTGTAAAAGTTTACTGAAACCTGTTTTATAAGGGTGATGAATTGGTCATTAGCCTCCGTGTAGAATTACAGAGGTGATGGTCCCATGATCACTTTTTTTCTGAACTAGGCTTATACCTAGATAAATGCTGATGTGGGGAAAATAATCTGGGACGCTGCTTGCAGTAATAATTTCATTTCAAATCAAAGTTTATAGGCTTCAACATGAATGAACGCACATTGTCACACATCATGGGGGCTCGTGGAATAAATGTGCCATGCCTGCTCGTGTTGTCAGCCTGTGGGAGCTGTAGGCATGGGTGGCCAGGAGGCGGGATTTATAATGGTGATGAATCCCGGAGGTCTTAGTAATTATGGCTGTCGCTGGACGGAAAGAGGGGGGGGGGGGACAAGCCGGCGGAGGCATTTTATCTTAATCACAGCTCAGCTCCATTCAAATTAATTTGACAAGTTTCCCCAATCCTTATTAAAACGACGCATCTGACAAATGACAACCCCCTCCTCCATTCTCTCTAAATGCCTCGTCATGAAAGAAATGTATTAAAAATATATATAAATTGGGAAAAAAATAAAAAAGAAAGAGGCAATAAGGTTGCAAGACGCAAATAGTTCCCGTAGATATTTTTCTCCCTGCAGGGCGCCCTGAGCCATCCATCCCTCCCACCTCCCGAGTGTTTCTATAGTAATTTCCAGCCAATGATCAGTAGGTGTCCACATCCCTGCTTCCTCACCTCAGCACCAATCAGCCACACACAGCGACAGGAGACACGGACTGAGCACAGAGACCAGGCAGACACACAATACAGCCCCCGGATCAAGAGGAGAGGAAACCCCTCTGCGATTTACCCCCCTTCTTTTTCTACGATACCTTTTGGCTTATTTATGCACTTTCTCAACCTTTTTTTTTTATTTATTTTTTTTTTAACGTGACAAGAAAGTCGATAAAAATGGTCCTTTTGTTTTGAGCGCTCTGAACACACACACACACACACACGCACACACGCACTCACACACACTCGCCGTGCTCTCCTCCGGCAGCCTATGTCTGTGCGTCTTCTCGCATCTTTGCATTATTATCCCCCCACGTATCGCTTCGCAGTAATGTGCCGTTACACGGTCGCAGGCTGGTAGCATCTTGGGAGCTCATCTCAACAGGAACCTGGTAGGTGATGCTCGCTCGCTCGCTCTCTCTCTCTCTCTCTCCCTCCCTCTCTCTCTCTCTCTCTCTCTCTCTCTCTCTCTCTCTCTGTATGTGTGTGTCCGTCCATATTTTGCCGTCCACTTGCATGCGTTTACCCCCGTTTTCCTCTCCCGATTCGTGTCTTGTGTGGCCGCAAAGTGAGCCAGGCAATGTCAGAATCATTTTGATCGGGTTTTATTTGCACTACGGCACCGCGCTCCCCCTTTTCGGATTATCTGTGTATGACCTTTTGATCTGAATGTCTACCACAGACCAGACCGAGTGTAATTAATGGCATCGCGGTGCAGCAGCGGCACAATGGTTCGACGTGGCTTTCTTTTTTTTTGTACTTTTCTTTCTTCAATCACCTCGCACTCTCTACCTTTCCCCCCCTCTCTCTCTCTCTCTCTCTCTCTCTCTCTCTCTCTCTCTCTCTCTC